CTTTTTTAATGTAGGTACTGTTCACCAAAAACATATTTATTTTGTTATTGTAATACTCAGGCGTATATTCACCATTACACATACTCTTACTCTAACTCTCTTTGACAACATGGCATTTTATATTTTAACCTTAGAATAATAACGCATAGAAACCTAGTCCGCACACGCTAAGTGAGGCAAATTGAAGCGCTCCCAAAGGGCCTACACGAGCGGGCGGGCCAACTTGCACAAAACAATAAAGGTCAAGTTGCACCGCGAACAGCTCAAGAATTTTAGCTAAAAATGACGAAATGTGCGGTAAATGAGTGTAAAAATACGTCAGACAAACATAAAATAGATACTAACATCACATTCCACAAGGAAGTAACGCGTTTCAACTTGTATTTTATTTAAATATTCACTAAGACCGAAAATTAACCTACTATTAAAAGTAGACTACATGAATTTGATTTTTGCCTCACTTGTGACAGTTCGGTTGATATGAAACTATCATTCTATGCGTTATTATTCTAAGATTTTAACTATAATTTTGACTATAACTTTAAAAGCTTCTTAAGTATAATCAATTATATTGGTGTTGTAATGTGGAAAAGCGGGAGTCCTAGCAGAAATATACATATTTACTTAAAAGAGTTTCGAACTCAGACTTGTAAAAGTTTTACTCATTGTTTAGTCGTCAAAGTAAATCAAATTTTATTTTCTTTGGTTTATTTTGTTTTTGTTTAAAACTATGAAAGATTTTTGGGTATAATTTAAAGACCTGTAAAAACATGTTCACCTTATCAACAAGTTGCTATTCCGTTCTACTTCACGAGCTGTCAGCAAATCCTTTGAGGGGTCGCTTATTCGGTTGATGTTGGCTCTCCGCTTAGTGAAAAAGCCTTTTGTTAGTAACCATTGTTCACTAAATGAAGGCCAGACTTCAGAGATGAAAATATTCCTATTTGCGATTTTGACATAAATGAATAATAAACGTTTTAAAGAAATAACTATTTTCATTATTACGCTGAATCACATATAAAAACGTAAATACATTATGTAAGTACGCTAAATCACACTTTAGATTTAAATTGAACTCTATGCCACATGTGTTAAATACGATTGAAAGTCGACATTCAGATTCAAAATATCTTAATTTCAGAATAAAATAATCATAAGCTTATAATATGATAATTGAAACTTGAAACTTTCTTATTATGAAGGTATCATCATTAGTAAACAATACTATTTCATGTTTTATACATTCGAATACACATCGGTTTACATCAAGTCATGTATACTAAAAACAGAAATGGAATCAGAATTATACTTTGAGAAACGCCCATGTTAACGACAGAGCCTGATTACGTCATACGGTTAACATCAAACATCTGGGTAATATCATTCAAATACGATTTAAGAAGGTCGAAATTACGGCCCATCTTATTATAACGGTGAAGTTTCCGAAGCAAAATATCATAGTGCATACAATCAAAGGCTTTGGAATGGTCACATACTATACCAATTACTCATAAACTCAACACCAGAATTAAGATTATTGAGCCAGTATGAGATCAAAATTGATTAAGATATAATCAGATGTTACTGTTATAGAAATGTACGTAGAGAAGACTGAGTAGGTACATTTTTTGTCAAAGGAGATCCGATAGTTTAATATTATTGAGTAATATTTTTTCAGGAGAATTTTGATTTTCTGTCGATTCAAACATTTCAAGAACATCTCTTGGATATGCACGATGAACCTTTAAATAGGCGTTCTCATCTCCACTACATGCAAGACTTCGGTGACTGTGGGAGTAAAATTAAATTATTTGGTAGGCAAGAGTATATTTTCTGTATAAAACAATTTGAATGACACTTCTGCATCTGTTATGTAATCTATACCTCATCGATTCTCCATTTAAAATAAGTTGCAAGGTTTGAGTGCTCCAAGTCACTGGTTTTAAAGTGTCATCTCGTAGCTGCTAAATCAGCATTACAAACACTTTTAAAATATTTAGGAATTTGTTCTAACAAAATCATTAAAGCTGTTGCTAGTGTTATATATCCTTTCTGATTGTTCATGTAGCCTTTGTCTTCTGTTATGAATTAACATTGTCAGCTTATCACTTCAACGTACAGTTAATTATGCTTTTAAGTTTTGTAACTTAACATATAGGCCCATATACAGATATAAGGTTCAACATTGGTATGAATGTCGTCTAAATAAGTGACTATAGAAGAAATAATTCTAGTATAGATACAAATACTGAATCACAAGGTCGCGACATTGGAAAAAATATATTATCCTTACTACTTAGACTAATTTTAGTAAATTATCACTGTAAATTCGTAAATTGAATAAGTACCAATGCATATAACAAGAATCCAATAAATTTCGCAGTAACTATCAAGTACGATACTGTTGAGTCAAAGCTTAGTGATTGCATCGTACGATTGAATTAGATACGTGACTACAGAGAGCTTAGTGTAAATTGAGCCAAAGCCAATAATGGCGTCTGATCTTCTCTTACAACGAATGACGAAATTACTAGTCAGTCGCAGTCGCGTAGGGCATTAATAGAAAATCGTGTCTGAAACGCTTTGTTAGTTTAGGTTAGTTCTATAAACTCTATGTGTTTTGGATATGTGCTCTATATATTATAATTATAAAGAGATTTTTTCCTTTGTAGTACAAAATACAGATAACATGGAAGTAATTTTTAAGTACAAAAATCGAACACAAAGAAAATTCCTTCGGTGCAGTTGGACAGCCACTGTTTGGCGATGACGTTGTTTCATGTCCAGCGGGATTGAAATAATTTTTCTTTGTTTAATAACTATAACAAAGTAGCGGAGCAATTTTATAAAAATAATTGAAATCACAGTGAAACTTTGTGACGCTCAAAACACATAATATTGCAATGAAATAAATTTGTTCTATCTTTTTATCATTAATCGTTAATAACAGTCAAATGTATCTTCGTAATATAACTTTAACTCCAATAAGTAATTCAACTTTATCTGTAGCAGACAGCTTACTATCTACTTCTTAATATTTGTTTCAACGACTGGGGTTCACTAGAATTTTATGAGCAGTGTTTGAATCTCCAGTGATACTATTTAGTCGCAGATCTTATCTTAATTTTATAATAGCAACGTAAATCGAAATAGGTTAAAAGGAATACAGTTAAAAGTAGCCACTGAACAAATTTAATTAGTATTGTACAATTTTTGGAAAATTATGATAAAATATGGTAACGAAAATTAGAAGATAATCACGTTTTTAGTTGAGTATGCTTTAGCCATTCGTTTATTTCAGAATTGGAAGGGTATTAAGACACCGATTACTTGATTATACTTGTATCAAATGCTCGATGGAATTGACTGGTAAATAATTACTTCAAGCCAAACGATGGAAAAGTTTTCATGTAATTTTTTGTAGCCTTCTCGATCTATCGCTCAAAAACCCCCGCTTTCTTTATCAGATCTCCTGAAAAATCAAGAATGTTATCCAATTCTACATTATTTCGTAAGAAGCGCTACCGAAGATATTTAATTCTTGTAATGGAATACAAGAGATTGCTCTCAGTCTTGGCTGTATGGCGCATTAGTGCTTTTGCCTTTTCCAATGGAATAAACAGTACCAAAAATAACAAAGAAATTATGACATCCTTTTGCCTGACAATCCGTGTATTGTAAGATTGTTCAAGTATTAAAATATATCTCACGTGTATTGTTATAATCTTTGATACTACACTGCTATTATACAGTTGATAGTGCTGGAAAAAGTTTGCATAAAATATCGTTATCGCCAATGCACACTGAGAGGAGGAACCGGTAAAATTATCAACGTAACGTTTGTTATCATGTCAGTACTTAGTATCCAACTCACTCAGTACTTACTCTTATTCGCTCAGAACGTATTCAGTAGTAGTAAGTACCCAAAGATAAAGATCATTTATATCTAAACCTGATGTTATGCGAAAAAAAACGAGTTTCGCGTCGGCGCTAAGAGGAAGCGTCACGTGTTTATGAGAATAAAGTCTTGTGTTATCGGTTCATGTCGATTCTTCGTTTGTAAGTATGGTCACTCCCTTAGGCTAACGCAACTCTCTTCAATGGCGATGTTGTCTTTGAAAACCAATGTAACACTATATTGCATTTTGGGTAACATTATTGATTACCCCAATAACGCGAAATCCAGGTATTGTAATATTGGTTGTAATGAATATTAAGATGTTTTACTACTGTGATTATCAATTATGTTTGTGAGAATTAGTCCATTCGTTTGTTATAATTATTAATACAAAAATCGAACACACAACGCAACCAAAAAACAAAGATCTGAACTGAACAAACGCATAGAGAAATTCGTAAGGTCAGCTGACTCGATCTGTAACTCAGTTGGTACAGCGGTTGCCTTGGATTGGTAGCGGTTGTCTTAGTTTAGCAGCGATGTACGTTAGCAACAATTGCAGCGTCGATGCAAACGCGCGACTGCATCGATACAAACGCTCGATTGCATCAATACTATCGCATGTGAATCCTAAGTGTAGCGATGCAAGCGTGCGACTGCATCGACTTGCTGTTTGATTTGCGGTTCGATTGCTGTGTGTAACCGCTCTTAGACTTTGGAAACCATCCTTTATGATTGGCACACAGACGCAGGGCGAGTAGTGCCGTCAGATTGAAAGAGTTTTTATTTGTGTTCCATCTTTGTCATATATTGTTTCCTTTAGTGACGTTCTCTTACAGAAAAACAATACTGGCATTTGGCTGTCACTAATAATACGTTCGGTACGAGGAAAATTTACTTAAGTGATGGAAAAAAATAAAGGAAAATTGACCTGATTAGTATGTCATTTTGAATTTGATATAACGTCAATCTCAAACAACGTGATTTAGATGTGTTTTTAATATTTTTAAAATAATTCTCTCAATTTTGTTCAATTTTACGATAAGATTTATGCTTAGTTTACAAAATATTATTTTTATTGATTTTAACCGAGTTTCCTGGTGTATCTAAGGTTTTTTATTAATATGCGGCAATCGATAACTACAGTGCGTAACTTACTCTTTTCAGTAGCCACTGCTATTGTTTTAATGCCGGGAAATGGACTCTGAACTAATATTGCAGACTGAACAATTGGGGGCTGAGGGTATTGTACGCTACAAACTTTCAGACCCACAGTATATTGAAAATGGTTGGACTATACTACCGGTAGAAAAAGTAGTTCGCAAAGTAACTATCTACTTCTGTTTATTTCTTCAGTTGTAATACGATAAGTACCAATTTTTAATACCTAAACAATGTAACAGGTCAATATATACCGTATGCAACCAGTAAACCCTGAGTTCGACTGGTTCGAACGTAATAAGAATAAAGGCGTTATGAAGTATGATACTGGAGAAAGATTGGCGGAATTTGATGAAAACGGTCGCGGACGCTGGTACTACCGCAACGGCCGCTTGGCACTGGACTATTATGACGCTAAGGGTTATTCACAATTCTATTGTTAACAGAATAGGTACTTTAGATTTCGCCGTTGTCCCTTACGATTCCCGTTTCTTTCAGAAAATAACACGCAACAACGATTCATAATTTACAGCAACGGAGAGCCGGACGAAAAAGGTCGTTCACATCCTATAACCGTTTTAGGATTGTTCGATTTTCTTGGAAATGGCGTTATACTTGACCACAGCGGTAAAGTGCGGTAATTATCGTCGTCAAACATGCATATATACATACATATACGCCTGTAGATATGCACGCAAAGGTCTACCCCTTCTCACGCCTGCATCCACATTCAGTCTACAAAGTACCGTTAATCTACCAACCTAAATTCTTTCTACATGACCAAACCATTCAAGCATCTCCCTTTCTATCTTAGTCACCACATCATCTTTCATACTACAACGCTGTGTCGTAGCATCGTCAAATATTTCGTTTAGATGTCTATCCACTTATGCAGAGTGTACCAAAAAAGGTCGATCACGTTACAGCTGGTATAGTGATCGTAATCGAACAACAATAACGCCTGTAACACTAAATGTCCACATTTAAAGTTTCATTTGACTGCACGCTTTGAAAGATTGAACGGAGATTGTTTTTCACAAATTTGAATGACTTATTCTGTAGATGTATATTTTCATGAGTAAGTTCTCCAGGCGAAATATGATTCCACCTTTTTGGTACACCTGTAGGAACTTACTTTACATTTATTTTTTATTATGAATGCAGTCTCAAATATAATCAAATGGAAGGAGTTGTTTTGGATCGAGGACTGGGACCTTATTCGCATTGGAAATGGCACTCCTTGAATGAACCTCCTGATTTACAGCATGTTATGATAGATACACAACTGGAACAAAAAGATCCTACCATACTAAAACTTGGTAAAACACAAGAAGATATTGGGCCTCACGCAGGCCAGGAAGATATGATAGCGATAGAATTTGACAATTTCATTAAAGAACAAAATAAGAAGCTCAAAACAAAATTCAACGTGTTCCAAATAAAAATGAAGGCCCTGAAAATAAATAGATATTTCTCTTTACGAATTTTAGATCAAACAAAAATATATTTGTCATTTCATGATGGGACTACAACATTAAAATTGAATATGGGTATGGTTCTAAATAATGAAGAAATTATCGACTACGATACAACAGATGTAGGGAAAGTTGTTACCCCGGTAGATCGACTTCCTGCACGTAGTGACAGTCTGGCAAGTGTACAACGCAGCGTCGCATATGCACGAAAATTTGAACGGTCTCGCGCCCAGCGCGAACTAAACCTTCGTCCCAAAGTGGAGATCAACGCAAAAATTGACCATACAAAGGCATTTTTATCACGACCTTTGCGTCCTCCGGTTTGTGTTGCTCCTTCGGCTCCGAGTTCTGCGATTACTCCAGACACTCATTGCGGTAGACGAAAAAAATGTACAATTAATTTATACTACGATACAAGTATTATTTAATACATAGTTTTTAATTTAGCGCAGGCACCTCGCGTCAGTTCGTGCTTGCCCTTGTATACGAAATGCACGAAGAGCCACAATCCGCGCCATGATGTGTAATTTAATGGTGATAAGTTTATTTATTTGCTTATGGGTTCTCGGGATACAGCAGAAAAAAAACTTTGTCGTTCAAACAATTTTAAGAATGTATTCAATTATTCCGTGTCATCCGTGTGTCCGCTCCCTGTCTGCGTCGAATGTCACTTTTCAATTGGTTTATTTTTATAGTAAATTTGATTTGCGAACTTTGTTTTATTGTCTTTGATTTATTACAAAAAAAGGGTAAATAATAAAATTTTATTGGTATTTTGCTGCACAAGTCGTGCGCTTGGTAGTAAGCGACACGCCTGTCCCTAACAGTCGTAATGCCACTCAGAGCTTTAAATCCACTAACGACACCCTGATAAAAGTTGAAAAAGTCCCATGTGCCTGTAATTTTACCAGCACCCTTATCCTTCGAACGATGAACTCTTTCACAAGGGGCTCTATTACTAATCAGTTGAACTAATTCGACAAAAATATCCTAGTTAGTCACATTAGTTTAACCTACATGTAATTTAATATAAAAATTTGTGTAATTTTAATCACACTTCCTCTCGATTATATTTCTCACAGCAATCGTAACCCTGCACTGCGACCATAGATTTAGTATATTAAATCTATGACTGTGATATATACTAAATCTATGGTGATTTACATAGCTGTTTTATAGACAACAAAGCGGCAAAAACTTTTATAATGTGGCAACTGTCATTTAATAAAAATGGCCTTATAGGATGGAAAAAATAAAAGAAATGGCATTTGACACGTAGATATCCATAGATTTAGTATAGACACTTGACCTTAGAGCTTTTACAGGATGGAATTCCATAGACTAAGAACTTGACACGTACTTGACAAGATGATCTTTTGATTTTCGATACACCTCTGAAAAAAAAATAGTTTTTTAATAAGTTTTGTTTGTATTTTGTGTTAATTCAATTTATTTGTATTCTTAATTGTACTCAAATAATTTTGGAATAATTAATTTATTAAGTCATTGTTATATATATGATTCCTGTTTAATTATTTGTATATAAACAATTATGGATGATCGGTAAATATTTGAGTGTACCTTAGTGTTTTGTGCACGTTCATTACTAACGACGACATTCCAGCTACTTGTCTTGCTAACGAAAAAGTTAACGTAACAGCTTGCTTTTTCGCTTATCCATCAAAATAATTTTAATAACCTTAAATTGTTCATTTCGTTGGCATGTGGGTCAATTTCTTGTTCATTGTTGAAGGCAAAATCGCCTCATTTGCGATGAATGCCAGAAGTCGACAAAAGAAGTTCAAAAGGTGGCAGAAATAAAAAGCACAGACCTATTGATCTACAGTCACAAACCGAATACGAAGGTTGGTTTGAAATATTTTGAATAATACAAATAACAAAATGTGTTAACTTAAGTTGCATTAACCTAGTAAGGATAAATAGAACACTACTATGATAACAAACAGAAATCTAACAATATCTAATGATGTTCCCCGGTTCTTTAGTTGTCTAATGTAAAGGACATTTTTGTTCAAGAACATTCTTCATTTGTTATAGACTAGCAAGGCTGATACAACGGGGAATGCAGGTGACAACGATGCCCACAAAATGTTTGTTGCAGAAAGCACTAATAATACAAAGATGAGGGCTGCTGACATTGCACTAGCTATGGGTAAAGGTGTATTATGTATATACATTAAACATTAAAATAAAAATGTCTAGAAACTTGACACGGAATTGTTGTAACTACAGGAATTCCTTATTAGACATTTGACCTAACGTTTCCCTAATAAATTACAGCCTTGAAAAAGTAATACTTAGTACTATTACTTCTCTTTTATGGCCCCCATGGATCCGGCTTTTTACAATTTTCAAAGGATTATTTAAAGGGCCCAGCTGAGATAACAGTAACAGAGTCATGTCATAAGTGTCGTCAAAATCTTTTTCATATCTTCTGTAATAGGAAAAAAACCTTTTTCTTGCTGACTGAGTCAAATGTTGGTGGGCTCCCCGGGAGCAGACAAAAATAAAGGACACGCATTTCTGAGTGTGTGTAGTAGATAGCATTCCCTATTTTTACATCCTGGGAGATATAATGTCCTTTGAGACAAACAGATACAATGAAAAGGTCTGACTATGTTACCAACAAAAAAAAGTTATTACACATACAAAATTCCGATTTATTAAACATTTTTTAAGACAAATCGAAGAACTTTGGCTGCACCTCAAAATATTCTGCGAGTTTTGATGGGAATCAAACATCTATTCACAAAAAACATGAAAACAATGGTGTTAGATCTTAGTTCTTTTCCTCATAATCTGACTGTTGCATGCAAGCGAGGGTAAACCCGATTCAGAGTTTCGCTATGACCGTCTATAGATTTACTAACACGCGCGACCCCGCGCAATGTTGTCACATCCTTTTTATTAATTCTGATACACGAATCTGTGTTTTCAATCACACACGGTAAAAGTAAGTATTTTTCTTTATATTTCAGATCAACATAAAGTGAGCTGTCCGCGTTGTCGATACATAATGTATCGTGCACAAAAATCACTGCGACAAATCCCAATTGTAGAGGGAATTCTTCCGAAGAATATCTGCGAACACTGTCAAGCGCAAATAAATGATCGCCTGCTGATAAAAGAGCAGTTCATTTACTCTAAGCTAAAATCAGGCGGTATATTAATATGGCGAAGAAAAGCTAAAGAGCTACTAAAAGATAGTAAGATAACGAAATTTAAACATAAGGATCTATATTTATCCATCAAAAGACGAGAGAGACGACCAATAATCACGGCAACAGACCCGAGGATAAGACCATTAATAACATCATTAAAATTAGACGAGGAATCTTTAAGCGGTGTTGAATCGCCAATAAAAAAAGTCTCCTTTAAGGAAACTGTGGAAGTTATTTCGAAATCTCCACTCAATACGGATCTAGGCAAAAATTTTCTTCCACAAAGTTTCCATTATAAGTTTCCGAAACTTCTTAAAAAGAGTTTGAGTGAAGAAATAATACGAGACAGGATCCGAAGCTCTACAGAATTATTTAAGGACATTCAAGCGCGATTGCACATGCAGGCTGAAGAAAAGAAGAAAAAAAGTGAAGAAATGAAAAATTATAAACTTCAAGAGAAAGAAAAACAAAGGCAAGCTCGTATTGAAAAGAAGGAAAAACTGAAAAGGAGTACATCAATAACGTCTGAATCTGACACCTTTAAGCTTGACGAAAATATACGTGAAAAAGGTTATGATGTTTACGAGTCTGAGGATTCACGTAAGAGTGGAAGAAGTAAAAAATCTGAAGAACATATAGATCGGAAAAAGCGAGAAAAAGGATCACAAGATATTGAACAGACAGCAGAAAGAAAAGCTCAGCTATTTGAAAAAGATAGCATACAAGGGACGGAAGACAAGCACGAACAAGGAAAACCAGATAAAGAAAAAGTATTGCCAACTATAAAAAAAGGATTGCAAGAATCTGGAAAACAAAAAGAAGAAAAGCCTGATAAAGCGAAAGACGGGAAACCTGAAAAAGAAAAAGAAGGAAAATCTGACAAAGAAAAAGAGTTATCGGCGCCTAGAAAAGGAAAGGATGAAAAATCTGATAAAAAAAAATCATTGCCAGCCCCTGGAAAAGGATTACCAACACCTGAAAAAGAAAAAGAAATGAAACCTGGAAAAGAAAAAGCATTACTTGCACCTGGAAAAAAAGAAGCTAAATCTGATATAGAGAATGTCTTGTCAGTATCTAGAAAACCAAGAGAAGAAAAGCCTGTTGGAAAAGGATTAAAAACACTTGAAAAAGAAAAAGAAGAAAAATCTGATACAGAAAAAACATTACCCAAATCTCGAAAAGGGGCTGGCAAAAAAGAGGATAAAATTGAAAAAGAAATAGCAACTGGAAAAGAAAAGGAAGAGAAATCTGAAAAAGACGATGTATTGCCAGTACTTAGAAAACCAAAAGAAGAAAAGCTTGGCGATGCAAAAGACGGAAAATCGTATAAAGAAGAAGCTTTACCAGCCTCTGCAAAAGGATTACATCCATCTGAGAAAGAAAAAGAAATGAAACTTGTCAAAGAAAAAGCATTACCTGCACCTGG